GCCTTTTCTTTTTTTTTCCAGAGGCTATGTTTAGGTTTCGAGAGACTTCATTCATGTTAATGTAACAGCATTACTGTGTGTAGATAACAGAAGTATTAAAAGTTAGATTTTTTTATGCTTATGACTCATAACACTGTTATGTGATTTAAGTGTGAAGTTAAAGGTTTTGGGGTTTTAGATGAAAACAAAGCCTTTGAGGTGCTAACTGCTTGACTGGCCTGCTGTTGTTCCACTGCTTTTCACAACCCTGCAACATTAACGCGTTTAGGTTCTACAATGTTTTTTCTTTGTGAAGTGTATTCCTCTGTTTTAGGATCTGAATACTTGTTTTTCGTTTGTTATTCTACTTTATATATTCAGTGTTGTTTTTATAGGTTTTGTCACAGGTTGACAAAAGTTATTAATAAAATTGGCTTTTTTAGGATCTTAGATTATCAAGCTGACGTCGTTTCTCATTTAAACAATAATATTAATAGGTGGTTCATTCCATGGAAGTAAAGAGAAAATCTATAATATAGATTGTGTTTAATGTCCTTTGTCAAATCAACATACAGTTCTTTGTTTATAGCGTAAATAAGAGTTGTTTATTATAGTTTGTTATTGCAGGCAAACGCCAATAAAACCTGAATAAAAGTCTTTGTTTGTTGTAAAAATGATTCTGTAGGTGTAGGGTTCTTCCTTTCTGACATGATTCACTTCATTTCATTTCACCTGAAGCGTTTTGTAGCAGTAATATCACTTGAGATTTCCCAACGAGTGAAGATAATCGGGTCGGGACATGATTAATGTGCCCTGGTGTACATGACTACTTGCTCATAGTCAGGCTGATGCATGTAAATAAAGACCACAGCTGGTTTGTGTGACCTAACACTTGAAGTGTTTTAGAAGGTTACATTTTGAAGTGCAGTTTTGTAAATGGTAAGAGAAAAAGCTACTTTTCCTTTATTCACACAAGGGTTCGCCACAGCTGGTAGCTCCACAAAATCAGACAATTTTTTTTTACCGTGTCGGTGTCCAGTAAACCTGGGAGCTCATGAGATTTGGATGCCTAACTGTTGCACAAGTCAACACATTATTTAGCTGCCCTGGGAATTTTGTTTATTTATTTTTCTAGTTTTTTATTTTTTACTTTCTGTTTGTTTTATCGGAAGGCTTAGTATTGAAAGTGCGTCCACCAGCAGGTGAGGCAACAAAATACCGGAAATTTAGCAATAACCTTCAAAATAAACCAGTATAAACTCGTTTTTTGACCATCGAGAACTGATCGTACACTCAAAAGAAAAAGTAAAATAATTGTGCCCAAAATTCTGCTTTTAACTATTTTAATTACATGTAAATTTTTCGTGTAATGCGTTATATAAGTACAATGTAAACGTTTAGGTTTAATGGAACCTGATTAAATGAAATTTACTTGGTATACCAAGCCCATTTTCCTTCATGATTTCCTTAATTTCTTTAATTATTTGAATAAATGTTCGCTTGATTTTGAATGTTTCAGTTGCATTTGACTCAAAATGATTCCTTCGTGTTTACTGAGTTTGAAAAATCTCTTCGTCTTTTTTTTCTTTGCACAAGATGGCCAAGTAATGAGAAAACAGTACCGGTATCAAGGAGCACGGCTTGTTGCTTAGCTACACTGCTCAGCTCATTATGAAATGGAGTTCGAAGATTTTCTCAACACCTTCAGCTCTCCCTCAACTTATTTATTAGTTTCCTTCGGTTGCCATCAGTGGGTGCAGATTGCCTACTATATAAAACCCCGCGATGAACAAATTGTTATCCTTTATTAATTTACATAGAAATGCAGAGGGTGAGCCAACTTTGTCTGAAAACTCCTGGAAACAAATACACCCAACTGCCAGAAATTTGCACTCAGATGTATGTCACCCTAAAACGTCAGCTTTCTTTTTTTAATGTTTATTTTGAAAGTTTATACCGGAAGTGCGTGATTCATATTGGGCATGACTTGACAAGTTGCGTGTTGGACGTCCCAGTGATAGATATGCACATGCATAGTGTGGAGATCCGGGACAGGAACACCTGAGCAGGAGAGCCCGACAGACAGCAACAGCTGCAGCAGCCAGCACACACTCATCGACTTTCAGGTAGACGTGTGAACACTTCGGGAGGGAGAGAGGAGACAGACCCATAAACAACACCCGAGGTAATTTGCATTCACTCACAGTTGTATGCAAAGGCAGACGGGGGCTGTTAAATGTCATCAGGTTTGTAGCTGAGCTAACGTATGGTAAGGCAGTGTAGGCAACTTAGACTCTTAGTTAGTTATAGGCTACAAGTGTCATCGGTGGCTTCAGAATATGAACTTTGTTCGTGGTTAATCGGGCTAATTTGTACACAGATATTTGGATTCGGTGTCAACAAGTGGGGCAATGAAGTGTCCCGTGAAACAGCTGCTCTCGTGCACTGCATTGACTGACTGAAGCAGTTACAAACCAGGCGTCAGATGCTCTGAAGTCAAATATTGAATGTGCATTAATGAGAGTTGACATGTTTTCCCAAGCTAAAGTAAATACACGACCCTACACACACACACACACACATACTTCAGTGTGTGCCAGGTACTTTCATGCTGATGTAGGCGCATGCGCGGATATTGATGTTCTGCTGAGTGTGTACAGCAGCATGCCGCTCAGCCCCTCTTTTATGATCTTGGAAGCTGTAATGCTGAGCTGGTCTCCAGAGACTTCTCAGCAGCCAAGGAGGAGCAGGACTCAACCCCTGAGAGAAGAGGAGGGGGGTGGGGGTGGAGGAGAAAGAGAGGGAGAAGGGGGGGTAGATAGATGAATGTAGATGGATTGATGCCGAGTGATGGAGGAAGGAGAGAGTTAAGAGTGGGAGGGAAGCTGGCTGGCCGGATGATGACAGGAGGGATGCATAGATGGATGAATATGTGAGGAGAGAAGGAAGATAAATGAGAGTAAGGAGTGTGTTTGTGTGTGCATGTAAGTAGTAGTGTCACTGGGTGAATGAATGACCAGATGGGTGATAGATAAAATACACAAGCGGGGGAGAATCTATTGCCCCCTTCCCACCGCTCAGTCTCTACCGATCCTATAAGTTTTTAACATGTGTTCTTGTGACAAATGGATGGAGAGAGCAGGAGGTGACCGGTCCAGGGAGGAAAAAGAGTAAGGAGCACGCCCTGGCTGTGATTCATAGCACAGTGATAAGCGCTAAGAGGAATCAGGGAGGAAGACGGACCATTTTTAAAATAACACTTCCATTTACCAACATCAGCATCTGCTCAGCTCTTAGTGTGGATGGATTTCAGACGTCTGAGTGTTAACCTGAATTCTCAAATAGCTGATATTTATCACTGTGACACCACAGCTGATATACTGGTAATCCTGGATTTTGTGAAAGCCAGTGCTATTCTTTACTTTAGTATTCCCCCTCCTTTTTTGTTTTCAGTTACCATCTTTTGTTTTTTAATTCAAACAAACATTAAACCTCCAATATTAACATTTAAGAGAAACTAACATGAGCTCATACATTAGCTAATCATCTAACATTGAAAGGATTAACCAGTACATTTGACTATGTTCAATTATAGGAGTGTATCTGCATTGCCTTTGTCTAAAAATTCCTTATTTAAAATTTATTTGCAATGGGCATTTGATTGTGCAGATGACGTGTCTGACATCGGCATCGACGTTCCCTACCATGGTCACATGTTCCTGTCTTTGCTATAAGACATCATTGCGCAATATATTGAGATTACTGGCAAGTCAGACTCTGTTAGATTATTTTTGTATGCATTAAAGCCAAGCAGTTATATGACTGATTAAAAACAGGAACTAGTAGATACAATCCTGTTTCTTCCTGTACATGTATGCATTTACCAGCAGTTGACCCAGTGCAGCACCCTGAGCCTGCAATTATGTAATTGTCCTTAACTGCCTTACAGCCACACCTATTCTGTGTTGTTCTTGTACTTGTGTTATTTTTGTGTGGCGATTGAACAGGTGTAAGGTACACCTGTTCAATTGCTCATTAATGCAAATATCTAATCAACCAATCGCATGGCAACTCAGTACGTTTAGGCATGTAGACGTGATCAAGATGAGCTGCTGCGGTGCATGGCATGCATTGCAATTGGGAAGAAAGGTGACTTTAAATGTTGCATTACTGTTGGTGCCAGATGAGCTGGTCTGAGCATCTCAGAAACTGCTGATCTACTGGGACTGCACAGCCATGTCTAGGGTTTACTTAGATTGGCCACTCCTGTCAGCCAAGAACAGGAAAAATGAGGGTATAGTTCACCCAGGTTCGCCAAAATTGGAAAGTAGAAGATTGAAAAAAAAAAAAAAAAAAGTTGCCTGGCCTGATGAGTCACAGCAGAAATCGATTGCAAGATCAGCATGGATCCATCTTGCCTTATAGCAGTTCAGGCTGGTGGTGCTGTGATGGTGTGGGGGATATTTTCTTGGCACACTTTGAGCTCTTAGTCACAACTGAGCATTGTTTAAAGACCACAGCCCATCTCAGTATTGTTGTCGACCACGTCTATCCCTTTATGACCATCGTGTACCCATCTTCTGATGAAATATTTTCAGCACCTTGTTGAATCTGTGCAAAAAAGAATTAAGGGAATTCTAAAGGCAAAAATTGGTCCAACCCATTGTTGGCATGGCATACCTAATAAAGTGGTCAGTGAGTATATGTAGGATTACCAGCCACAGGTAACTGGCAGAACTTGTCCCTTTTTAGGCATTTTAAGGGGCAGCAATCAACAACAGACACTACAGAAAACCAAAATGTAGACACACAACCACTACAAATTGCTGCAAACAATATTTAATACAAGAAGCACAAAAGACAACATTTATCAACAACAACAAAAAAGAAAGATGCTTTATAGCCCATCTCAGTGATCACACATGTGCCTCTCCTTTTTGTCTGTCGTCATTTGATAGATGGCTTTAGCCAGAGATCCAGGAGCGGCTCACGAGCAGAGAGATCCAGCCGACCAAAACTTTGACTACATGTTCAAGCTGCTGATCATCGGCAACAGCAGCGTGGGAAAGACCTCATTCCTCTTCCGATATGCAGATGACTCATTCACTTCAGCGTTTGTCAGCACGGTGGGCATCGACTTCAAAGTCAAGACCATCTACAGGAACAACAAGCGGGTCAAGCTACAGATCTGGGTGAGATTGGGCATGAGATAGAGCCTCTGCACTGCCGAGTAGTATTTTTAAGAAGTCCTTAGGATCGAAAAACCCCCTAAACCCTCTAAGCAAAGGATTTATTTTCTCTCATCCGCTGTTTTTTTTTTTTCTTTATTTCTTTCTTTTGTACTTCTTTACCTGGTATTTGACCTCCATTAACAGGGCAAGAGGAGAGGCGGTTTAGGCCATTGGGAGCACAATAGCAGCTTATACACTAGTGTAATTATGTCTTCAGTCCTCATGATTGAAATAATAGTTTGTGGCATTTTGCTAAAGTACTAACCAAGACGTTGTTTTTTTTTAATCTGAAGACGTGGAATAATAGACACTAATTTTACTTCGGGGGGGTTTCCAACCAAAGAAAAACACCTGTTTTTTCTTCCTGCTTTCAAACTGTTTGTCACCACATGCACATAGTTATAATGATTAGGGCAAGAACAAGGTTTGTTGACTCACTGAAAGATGTTTATTCATTGCAGCAGCCAAGAACTAAAAGCTCACTGGCAGTGTTGCAGTTTGACCAAATGTAATCTTAATCAAGCTGTCACACAAAACCTATCCGTTTTTTGTTGTTCTTGTTTTAACTACTCTGACTGTGATAGATGTCTGGGATGCTCCTAGAGGCACTTAATGTAGAGGTAGCTCCATTTGAACATCACTGAGATCTTAAAAGTCCCTAATAATTTCCACTTGAATGCTCAGGAAGATTTTTACTCCGGTCTCCCCACACCGGAGTAAAAATCTACTGTACAGAGAACAGCTTTGACACACAATATATCAACAAAATTGACTATAAAATGCTCCAGTCTCTTTAAAGTCGGAGTGGTAATTTATGTGGGGTCGTTACCTGTGGCAAAGAGGTTTTAAAATACATCTTCAACCAAAGGAGGGGCCAAATGAATAGAGCTTTTCAAAGCCTTGTTACACAACATGGAGTGTTTATCCTCTTCCCATTCCCTGATTTGCCCTCTTACATGCTGCAGCCTGTCATGGATGTGAACTAATTTCTCACTCTCTGGAGTTAATAACAGTTGATGTTTAACATTGTCCCCAGACGGCGGGGTTCATGAAAGATGCATGGGTTTGAGCTGCAGGAGCCGAATGTGCTTACCGCGCAGACTGACACCCAGGACAGATCTATTACTGAATGTTAGCGGAAGGCGAGGACTCACCCACAGTACTCCTGTTAGATGAAAGTAATGCATCTTTTTTGAAGTTAATGTATTCAGCGGGCCGTGCTTTCTCGGCTGCGCTTTACAATGATCCAGCTGCACACTTTCACACAAGGAAGGTGCCAAGTGAAATGATGAACCAGTAGTATAAAAGATAACCATATTAAAATTCAGATAAATAACAGTAAAAGTTTTATTACCGATGCATTAACAAGCAAGCAGATTTTTAACGTCCCAGCTGGTTGACTTGAGGTTTTATATTCAGGAAAGACACGCAGTATATTGGTTGTGAAAATGTTTTGTTATGAGCCCTTCACTTTAGAATCGGGGTTATTGGCTGCTGAGGGACTTAATGGGATTTCTTAGGACCATTAAAATAAGCGCAGCTACATGTGACATAAATTGTAGGTTGCTGACAAGCCCAGGAATGTGTACAATTAGAGTCAGTGGTGTTAATGAGGTCCATAGCAGCTACTGGCATCACATTACATGGGAGAAAGTTTAAAGAAGTTAGTTTCAAAGTCTTCGTTTTCTTACTGCAGTTTCAAAGAATCCACAGGAGTGTTACATTTGTTACTTTAAGGTTTTTCCCAAGGCAGCATGAAGAGGAAAAATACCATCTGGAGATGTAGGCAAGACCTGAGAGTGTGTCCTAGTGTGCTTCCAGGGTGTGGCTGCATCAACATTTTAAAAGGGATGGGTTATTCTATTCTAAGAAAGTTCATGATTGACCTTTGCTTTTGGTAAATGGTAAATGGCCTGTAGTTGTATAGCGCTTTACTTAGTCCCTATGGACTCCCAAAGTGCTTTACACTACATTCAGTCATCCAGCCATTCACACACACATTCACACACTGGTGATGGCAAGCTACATTTTCTGCAGAGTTAACCATTCGTTTACTTTTGCTCCCCTGTCATGTTTTCATTTTGCAAACAACTTTCAGTGTTTTAAGTGTTTTTTTTAAGCTTTTATGTTGCTTTTGAGAAATTTGTTGCATGTGGTGAAATTGAATTTCGGTAGGGTTATTGTTTCTTCATTTTTTGTGTGATTTCTGGAGTTGGGCCAGTAAAAATAATTCATCCACCATTCAATGTGTGTTTACAGGACACAGCTGGGCAGGAGCGCTACCGGACTATCACCACAGCTTACTACAGAGGAGCCATGGGATTTCTGCTCATGTACGATATCACGAGCCAGGAGTCGTTCTGTGCTGTTCAGGACTGGTGGGTAGATGAAGCATATAATTAATGCAGAATAGGCATGTGTGTTTTCCAGTGGCTGAAGGCATTTTTCCAAGGCATGTGTTTTTTGGGGGGGGGGTTTCACTGGTCTAAAAAGTGATACCTGCACAGAAGTGCCTTAAACTTTCTTTCTTTCTAATGGCTAGCAGAGGTGACACTTTGGTTGCAAAAAAACGTTGTGGTTGTGTTGAGGTTTTACAGACCCGTGAACACCAGCCACGTCTAGGCCTCAGTCACACAGGCCTAGGGACCAGTTCACGACCATCTGGCAACCAGCAATGGTGAAGAAAAATGGGATATTCCCTGGTTGTGAGTGGCTGCTGAATGTGATGGCAGTGACAGGGAAAATGTTAATTCATCCCACTCATGCTGCGCTACAGACTGGTCAGTAACCCCCATGGCAACTAGCTGTTGCTAGGGAAGATGTTTATTCCTCAATTAGTAAAATCTCCTTGCTTTGGTTGCTGGAATTTTGCTGCAGTCTTAGTTTTAATGCAAGTGGCAGATTTGTCTACAAAGCCTGTCCAGCTATCCTCTAGGGAAACTGTGAAAAGTGCAACATGAACCAGAATTGAAGACCCGTTTGCCTTCAAAGTAAAAGATTTGTTCTTCTAGAAACATGCTGGCTGCAGAGCAGAGACACAACCTTTACTTTGACGTTGGGCTGGTAGACAAACACGAAAAACTACAGGGAAAACCAGCGATAACTAGGAGGTTTTTGGTGCAGCACTTTCTTTGTATCTGATTCCTTCCAGCCAGCAAATTCCATGAATCATTGCCAAGCAGTTAAGGAATACACATTTTTCCCTAACAACAAGTGGTTGCAGACAACTCTTGAGCAATGTGTGCATGACGACATGAAAGAAACCTCAGTAGAAATTTGTGGGCAAATAGCCCATGGTTTCCTTACTTTGTGACTTCGGTAAGCTCTTTCCTGAGGAGTGTATGGTCTCAGTCACTACTTTCAAGTCCTTTTGAATTTAGTGAATTTCATTATATTAATGACGGCCCTCATTAAGGTCCACAAGGACAAAAAAACACAATATGCTTTAGGGCATCCACTGTGTAGATGTGCAGGTGTGTCCATAGGCTCTGCAGTTAGATCTGTCTTTTGATCGTGACATTTAGTTTAAAAGGCTGTGATGGTGAAAACATCAGAAAGGGAACTTTTCAATGTCGCCATGGATACATTCATCTTATCATTTTCTTCAACTGTTTGTTGTTTTTTTTGGATCACTTGGAGAAATTTAAAAAAAGCAGCACTCTTGTTCACAAGAATAGATGCTGCATTAAAAAATTGGATATAACAATGTGTTTAATTAAAGAAAATACACATAATGTTCCACTGTATAACCTGTAGAAACAAAAGGACAGTATATCAATAGACACAACCAACAGTCCTCCTGAAAATGGACACCACGGGAAACATTAAAATATTAATTTAATCTGTCATTTACTGATCAGTGTATGTTTTCTAAGTACAATTTGAAAATCATCGCCCTTTAAATTAATATGGTGGAGTAAAAAGTCAACATTTGCCTCTAGAATTCTGGGGACTGAGAGGTGTGTGTGTGTGCTGTGTGTGTGTGTGTGTGTGTGTGTGAGTGTGTGTGAGTGTGTGTCTGTGTGTGTGTGTGTCTGTGTGTGTGTGAGTGTGTGTGTGTGGGTGTGTGTGTGTGTGGGTGTGTGTGTGTGTGTGTGTGTGTGTGAGAGAGAGAGAGAGAGAGATATCATTACCAGTGCTCTAGTCGAAGACTTCAGATACAAAAGACTTGAAACACGACTTTCATCAAAAGTGAGAAAATGATATCAGGTGAAAGCTCTGTCTGTTTTCAATAATCAGATGCTTTTGCTTCAGACTTCTCTAAATCCCACTCTGAGCTTCTTCCAAAACGGTCTTCTTTTGCAAAAATCTGTAAATGCTGCTTCACTTTGTCAGCACAGCTAATTGTGTTCGCAGCATCACCAATCAGGGGATGAGATCATGTGACATTCAAACAGGTTAAGTCTCATTTATCTTAATCCGGGTTGCCAGCTTGCACTACTTGGGCTCTTAGCTGACTTGACATGACAGCAGTGCACTGTTTTTAATGGATATTTCTGTTTATTTATTCATTTATATATTGCACTGACATTTTGTGCCATACAGTTTCAGTTTATTCAGTCTTTCATTTTGAATACTGCTTTCATCATTTGTGATGTTTCCACTTGCATCCTTAGGGATTTTATTCAGTGATTAATAACCTTTTCATTCTAATTAAAGTGAACTTACTGAACCTTCTTTGCACCTTCTTTGCATCTCATTTCATCCAGCAACAGCCAGTAGCTTCCATGAATCATTGCCGAGCAGTTAAGGAATACACATTTTTCCCTAGCAACCAGTGGTTGCAGACAACTCTTGACCAATGAATCCTCAGAAAAATCTGTGCGAAAATGGCTCTTGGTTCCCTTTGGTTTGCTTTGTAACTTCAGTAACCTCTACCCTTAGGAGTGTATGGTTTCAAGTCCTTATAAATTGAGTGAATTTCATTATATTAATGACGGCCCTCATTAAGGTCCACGAGGACAAAAAAGGCACAGTATGCTTTGGGCATCCACTGTGTAGATGTGCAGGTGTGTCCATAGGTTTTGCAATTAGATCTGTCTTTTGACCATGATGTTTAGTTTACAAAGGCTATGATGTTGAAAACATTCAGTGCGCTTCAGAAAGGGAATTTCTCAGTGTCGCCATGGATACATTCATCTTATGGCTTTCCCCTAAAAGACTGTTTTTGGGGGGGGGTTTCCGTCTTTGACTTGGAAACGATCAAAAAAATCAACACATATAGCAACAGGTTGACAATAATACTACAAATAATGTCAAAGGAGCATTATCATTCTGCTGTGTTATATTAAAGAAATGCAATGTTCCACTGCATAATCTATAGAAATGAAAAGGAAACCAATCGATAGGCGCAATAAACAGTCCTCCTAATAACATACACAACCGAAAACGTTTGAATTTTGGACTCAAGTGAAAGCTCTCATTTGATGATCAAATCCTTTTAGCAAAAATCTCTTAATGCCACTTCCCTTTGTCAGCAGAGCCTATTGTGTTCACAGCAACACCAATGAGAAGACGAGATCATGTGACATTCAAACAGGTTAAGTCTCATTTGTCAGTGTGTTGAGATTGTTATCATAATCCTGTTTGCCAGCTTGCACTACTTGGTGTCTTAACTTCCTTATTTATTCGTCTATACAGTGTGCTATCATTTTGTGCCATGCATCTTCAGTGATCTCCTTCAGTGATTAATAACCTTTTCATTGCCATTAAAGTGAACTTGAATGCTAGAAATCAGAAGAGACTCAGCTTTGGTTCATTGTTGTGATGGACTGAGGGTCTCTGTAGGTGATACAGTAGAGTTGTGAACATGGTTTGGTTTTTTTTGGTTTTTCTCAGGGCAACACAAATCAAGACTTACTCGTGGGACAACGCTCAGGTGGTGCTGGTGGCCAATAAGCTGGATTTGGAAGATGACAGGCAGGTGCCGACTGAAGATGGCAAAAGACTGGCCAAAGAGCTCGGTCAGTACGCGCTGGTGTTTATCAGCATGAAAACACGTGAACAAAACATTATTTAATAATCACTCATAAGCTCTTTATCTCTCTCTGCTCTCTCGCCAGACTTCCATTTCTTCGAGGCCAGTGCCAAAGATAACATCAACGTGAAGCAGGTCTTTGATAAGCTGGTGGACGTCATCTGCGAGAAGATGAACGAGAGCGTCAACGGTGATGCCAATCCGGCAACCAATCACAAGGGAGATGGCCTGAAGGACACACCCAACAGCAGTTGGGGTGGCTGTGCATGCTGATTACTGATTGTAAAACCTGATAAAACAGGTTTAATAATTAAATATAGGTGCCCACACTTACATAGATGACCAGAATTGCCTCTAAATCTTTCATTGTGATTGTACTTTACCAAATGTTACTGCAGCGCAATCATGGATGCCTGGCGTTCAGTTTCTTTTTTTCTTTTTTTTTATATTTCTTTTTGTTCCTGGTTTTCTTGACTCGGTGGTGATTCAAGGATCGTCTTTGTAATCCCAATGTAACTGTTACACTAAGATGCCAAAGAGCTCCACTGAGCAGCCTTTTCTCTTTATCGTTTCCTGTTCACACAGTGCAGTGAACAGCACCTGTTGCAGGTCAGGATGTGAAAGAAAGCCATGTGCCAGACTGAAATTGCATGGGTAATCACCCCGATTGACTTGTGTCATGCTACCCCCTAGTGGGCGTCGCGCAAAACTGCATCACTGTGACTTCTGTTGAAATTGCCTGTTGTAAACCAAATGAGCAAGAAGGTACAGTACAAAGTCTAACATATTTGAAAGCTGAGATCACACACGCCTGATAGCCCTGCGTGAGTTCCAGTTAATAAACCACACTTTTTGTTGGATGTTTTATAGGAATATAATCATCTGTTGTGTTTAAGTAATGTATTTGTTTTTTTATTTTTATACATTTAATTATTAATGTTAGTCCAAAGTTAAAATAAAGTTGAAATTAAAAGAAAGGAATATGTATGTTATGTCTGTTGGCCTCATTTGTATGAAAACATTTCATGTATAGTTTTGTAATTTGTTTTTAAATGGATGAGTCATTGCTTGGAAAGACAGTTTTCTCCAGTGAATTATCAGAAAGGAGATAAAACACTGTGAGTGGCCGGCACACTTTTGTGTTACTGTGTTATAGACATTTAATTGGTGTAGTTTTGCTTAGGTGGTATTAGAACAAATTGCCCATAGGTGTGAATGTGAGCGCGAATGGATGGATGGTATTAGAACAAACACCTCTACCTGACAGAACACCTTTGGGCTGAATCATAGCACAGACTCCGGGCCGGACCTTCTCAGGGTTCACTTCTGGAAGAATGGTCAAAAATTCCCATAGATACACTAACTAACCCTTACGGAATTATATTAAGCCCTATGGATTAAGAATTGGATGTCACTCAAGTTCATATGCAGATGATCAAATACTTTTGGCAATATAGCGTATGCGCTTCAAAGGTAGCTTTTAATGCATGAAGGGTAAATTTTGCGCACTGATATTTTAAAGCTATTATACAAAAGAAATGTCATTTTGAGGGAGCCGGGAAGGAACCAGTGCTGAATCAGATTAAGTACTTAATAAAACATTCCCAAAAGTTTCCATGCAGTGTTGAAATCATTCACTAATCAATAGCACGACAAATCAATAAAGTCATAAATATTATCGTAAAAATGTTCCACGAGTAAACCAGTTATCGTTTATCATGACAGTTTTAATTGTTCAATGACATCACACTGGACTTCCTACTGTGTTTTAATAGTGAACCTTTTACTTTGACCATGACCTGCATTGATTTGATCACCATGGTTTCTTTGATTGGACTGATCACCAAGAAAGATCTTATTGTGTAAAGCACAATTGTGATTGTGTGAGTCGTGTTTGTTATGAAAAACCTGAATTATTAATTGAATTTTAAATTAGTATTTTTTTCAGCCCTTGATGAGTTGCAAGAAAACAATGAAACCAGGAAGTTTTGGAAAACATGCTTCCCAGATACCCTTGTATAGGAGCTTGTGACTGAATTACGTCACCTGAGAAAATATCTCTTGTTAGATTAAATTGCTTTATATGATGTTGTTGTCTGATTTTTTTTTTGTCTTCGTGACATTTGGTCATAAAAACGTATCTCAATGTCATGGAAAGTTGTGAAATGTGATTGAAAATAACTTTGAACCCTGTGTGTGTGTGTGTGTGTGTGTGTGTGTGTGTTTGTGTGTGTGTGAGTGTGTGTGTGTGTGTGTCCTATGGTGGGCGTGTTGGTCATGGGGTTGTGCGACCTGTGAGAACTTAAATGGGCAGTCCAAATCGTCGATGCACAGACACTCCTCGCTGATCAGACCTCAGCGGACACGCACACCTCAGTACAACACAGGTATAGTTGCTTTCTTCACTTTTTAATTCAAACTCCACAACTACACTGCTATTAATCTTCCTTAATCTAAAGCTCATCCGGATGATGAATGGTTTGTTCTGTAATCAAAGGATTTTATTAACATTAGGCAAGTTGTAGTGACATGATTACTATTCCTTAGCAATATCCAGGTGTTATTATTTTGTATAAAAACAGGTACAAAAAATAAAAAAAACCATCAAACTGAGTTATTTAGCTGCTGCATTTCTATTAAAAGTGTTGGTGCAGAAACATCTTTTCTTCTTAGAGTTTAAGTAATTTATTCCCCTCTTCTGTGGCTGTTCGAGTATGTATTCAGAAATTAACATGGAGGTGTTATAAGGGAACTTTATTGCCTCATGGAAACAAGGTTGCAGCTGCAAAGTAGGTCCAATTGATTGCTGTTGTCAAAGCTGCAATAAGGAAGAACATGACAGTCACCATAAAACGGAGTTTATTTCTCTGATACCAGGAACAGGCATGTTAGGTTGTGCAAGTTAATGGACAAGGGGTTGTGTGTGCCTCTTTTATGGCACTCCTGTGCTACCTAAACTGTGAAACCACTAACCTGATAAGGTACCTCAGCTGTAATATTTCAGCACACTTGCAGTTCAAAGCTAGAGGAAGCTTTTTTTTTTTTTTACCTCAACTCAACCAAATACAGACTTTAATGCAAGGAAAAAAGAAGCAAACATATCACCCAGCTGAGGTGCCTAGAGTAGGATGATTTAAATAACTAGCAGCAAAATGAATAAAAAATAACATGTAGACTTGGGCAATGCTTCAACCGAAACTGCATGACGTCAGCATGAAACGATTGGTATATTTAAAGAAGATTACGACCCCCCACTCTTTTGCTGCCAGCTACTTTGGTTAATGTTTAACCCAAGCGAATGCCGAGTGACCCATGTTGGCCACTGCTTGTGTTGTCTGCCTCTTGCTATTGATTTGAATTTCAGCAGTAAAAGAAAAGTTCCCCATGTTAAATGCTGAAAAAGAATAATTGTAATTACACTAGATAAGTTGTTTTCACCTGAACTGACATAATTTTTTTTGTTCTTGTTTCTTCAACAGAGTGAAAAAACAGAAATCAGCCAAAATGTGTTGTTCCGGCTTTCTCAAAATTATGATGTTCATCTTCAATGGCGGCATCTTTGTAAGTTGGAAAAAAGAGAGAACTTCTGTTTGTCTGCATCTCTTCAACAGCTTGGTTTCCCATCCTACACCAGACTACAAAGAAGACTTTACAGAGAGTAGTGAATCAAAAAAGGCCAAACCATTTCATTTGGCTGTATGAATTATTCTCTTTTATAGGTAGTCTCAATAAGACGTACATTTTAGCCCACTTTCTCTGTTCAGATATGGCTTTAAGTCAGAGTTTTCGATAATGTGAATATTTGCTTTTCCCCATAAATCAGATTAGATGAATATTACCACTGAACATTATGTCTATTTAATGTAAGGTCGAAGAGAAAAGATGGTCTGCTTAGCCTTAGCTAACTAACTTACAACATAACACCAATTATCGCTACAGTGCTCCCGCTCAATGCAAACATGTCACATTCAGGTCGAATATTTTCAGTGAGCATTAACTGACAGGAGCGCTGATCTGTGGATTGCCCTCCATGCTCGGAAACAATTTTTCCTCCACTATGACAGTTTTTCATCACCATAACAGTTTCACTCATTTTTTATCCGTTATCACAGTTTTTCATCACTATAACAGTTTCATCAATCTTTTTTTATGATTACTTTGTGCACATGCAGAAACATTACAGCTCCCATTACTTCTATTGTAACAGTGTCACTTCTTACATTGTCATTTTATTTTACTGATGTTGCTAGAATGAACAAACTCATTTCAAGAGTATTTTTCTTTATGTCTGTGTAATTTATCAGTCACCCCGATCAAGCGTAAAAAGAGGCAACTGGAAGTCTTGAGTAGTTTTCAGTAGATTGAGTAGTTTTAGGTGAAATGTCTTTGCAAACCTAAAGAAATCCAGTTGCCAACTTTTCTTCTTACGTATGTTGTTCCCTATTTTTGTCTTTTTCCTTCGGATTTTCAGTGATATCAGAAAATTAATTTAACATGTAGTAAGAAACTGTTTTTCTTAAAATGTTGACAGCTATAAATAAATACAATTAATTTTGCCACTGTTACTTATTAAAAAAGTTAGTGCAGTTCATATCATTCACGTTCAGTTTTTTAGTTTAATTTCCCATTAGCATTCCATGTTTTAATCGTCTGCTTACATTATCTTACAGTTTTTTCTTTTTCTCCTTTCTTTCTTCATAAACCTGCAGTTAGCAGGTGCCGTCATTCTGGGTGTGGGAATTTGGGTGCAGGTGGACAGGAGTTCCTTTCTGGATATACTGGATGAGGTGGAAGACACCTCCTCCTTATCACAACTGGCAAACGTCAGCTACCTGCTCATCGCCGTGGGTGCTGTACTAGTTCTGATTGGCTTCCTGGGCTGCTGCGGTGCCATCAGGGAGAGCAAGTGCATGCTGCTGACGGTGAGCAAAGTTTGGAATAAAAATAAATGAATAAAACATTTGTAAAAAAAGAAAGAAAGAAAGAACAGCAGATATGGTCTTCTGTGTCTGTAATAGTAGGATAATAAAGTTTGCAACTTTGCCCAAATCAATAAAATATAACATGGCACCAAAGTCATTCCTTGAGATGACAATTTCAGTTTATAACTGGGGAGTAGAGAGAATTATATTTAAGTCAGCTGAGTCAGAAAAATGTTTAAAAGAAGTGTTTAGTATTTCCTTTTGCCATTCATTTAAAGACGTGTGTCCTCACACATGATGTGACCAAATACTGACACATCAGTAAATTTCTTCTTCGTGTGCTATCGATACATTTGAAAACAGGTGCAGGTGCTCTTGAAAGATTCTTCAACAGTCTGACTTACCAGAGCCAGCACTTTATGACTGCTGACGCTAGTTCTTGTCAAATGAATGAGGCTAAAGGCAATATGATAGATGTGAGTGGATAAAGAAGACTAAACTCGTAGTGTACAAATGGCAGTTAGTGTGGAAAGGCATATCCAACAGCCAATTAATGTACTGCACACAAAAAAACAAACACTGCAGGAAATAAATGTGTTTTAGGGCTGGGTTTGCTGTTACACTGACTTAGAAATGCACAGTAAATAGCCATCTTGAAAACTTTACCGTATTAATGGACATGTACTGTATAGTGACTTAAGATTGTGATTCTTCTGTAGCTACTCTTTAGCTTCATATTTGAGCAGGTACTTTCTTGTAACTATACATCTGTTTCTCTACTGACACCTTAAGAGTATGCTGTTAAGAATGTTTTACAGTATGCTTTTTCGTTTTCCCCCTTTTAGTTCTTCAGTATTGTTTTGATTATCTTCCTCATCGAGGTTGCAGGAGCCATTGTGCTCTTTGTCTTCAAAGATGTGGTAAGTAGCTCTGAAGAGCAAAATCTGGCAAGAGCTGCCAATGGTCAGATTTAGAAACTAAAAAGTATGATAATGTGCTACTGTCTGTCTGTGTCACTCAGGCTGGTGAGCTTCTTCAGGAACTGGAGAAAAACGTCCAAAAGAGCATTAAAAACAACTATGGAAAGGAAAACCAGCTGACTTCTGTCTGGGACAACACAATGAAAGAGGTACTGTACCCATTTATTTATTTAAGAGAAAGGTTTGTGATCTATTTGCACATGGAGGTTTATTTGATCAAACTTTTAAGACTAACGTTTTGAATTACTTCACATTTTACACATTAATCAAACTTGTAGCCGTAATTTTGTTCTGTTGTTATGGTAATTAAAAACTTGTTGCATTAACAGTTTTTTGCTCTCTTCTAGCTTAAATGCTGTGGATACAGGAACTACACAGATTTTACAGACTCGCCTTTTAACAATAACGGTGGTCTCTATCCAGCCCCATGCTGTAATTCAACCATCAGTGCTGAGAAATGCAATGAAAATAAAGCGCAACATTCGGTATGAGACCAGCCTACATTTGGCCTAATTTTATGCATGTCAGCAACAGAATGAATCCAATGTACAGTGCACAGCAGTGTTTCCCATCCTCAGCTAAAAACATTTGTTTTGCTTTTAGAACATCGATGGCTGCTTTGACAAACTGCTGCAGCTGATAGAGGACAACGCTCTGGTCATTGCAGGTGTGGCAATGGGGATCGCTGCTCTCGAGGTATCGTTCACGTTCGTCATCCATCAGTTATATACTGCATGCTAGTTATTATCTATTGTGTATATTTTTATCTTCAATTTCTTTATGGCCATATATCTTACATATACTTATAAATGATACTAGGTGACACAGTGTGTGTGTCTTATTTTCTGGGTGAATTATTTGAATTTTATTACTGTGAAACAACATATTTAAAAAAGTTAATTTTCATACTGATTTGACTCTTGAAGTAAGGGGAAATAGTTTCAGCCCAAATGAACACCTTGTTTATTTTTGAATAAAATAAACAGTTCAGTTAACATCCCATAATTTGACTCAACCTTACCTTATAAATGGCATGACAGTTGCAGCAAAGTCCACAGCTTGTTCAGCAATTTGCATCTTACAGAGTACAGAATATGACACAGAAT